CAAGGAACGGGGGGGCAAAGGGGAGCCCCTTTCAAAAAAAAAAAAAAAAAAAGACCAAAAAAAAAAAAAAAGGCCATCTATAATGTCTATAAAGAGGAATAAAATTAAAATCTTGGGCCAGGATGATGGCTCAGCAGGTAAAAGCACTTGCCACACAAGCCTGATGACCCAAGTTTAATCCTCAAAACCCAGAGAAGGAGAGAACTCCTGAAAGTTGTCCTCTGCCCTCCATGCATATGCCGACACTCACACATGCATCATACACATCATACACATACACAAATAATACATTTTAAAATGTAAATCTTAAAGCAAATGATAAAACAAAAATTAGCAAAGATAATTCCCACATTAGAAGTGAAAATATTTAAAAATGGACAATAAAAGTAAAAGTCTCATATTGTAGGCTTATGAAAACTATATGAATGAATACCTGAGGTCAAAACTTTGCAGGCCAACAGACTTAAGAGCCAATACAGCCTGAAAGTTTAAACTTTCAATATGGATTGGGGGTATTACCATTAATCATCCCAATGGTGACATTAGCATTTATTTCAGGTTCTACATTGACTTATTTTTAGTGCAACTCTTAAGAATCCAGTATAACAGCTACCCTTATGTCTCCTACTGAGAATAGTTAATTTCAAAGAGGAAAGTCCACCAAGGTCACATGGGTAACAGTGAACCCAGGCAGGCTGCTCCCAGGGCTGTTGCACATATCCACAAAGCACTTAATTGAAAAAATACATCTTATATAGAATAATCTAATTAGGATGCTCTTTAAAAATACCTGCACCTTTTAATTGCCTGCTGGGTTGGCAGAGTATACTTCATTCATACTTACTTTATGGACAGAGTCAATTGCTAATAGGACCTGGAAAACTGTTCTGTTCTTACAATATTTCAGTCATCCACCCAAGAATAATATGAGGAATTGAAAAGACCCTGACTCTTGTCTGTTCATTCAAAATGCCGCATTTCTCCTCTGGATTTAGAGAGCCTAGGGAATTAGTGTCTTCCCAGAGGTGTCCTATCTCACATAGATACTTCATGCCCCCGCTTCCTTAAGATTCAGATGGAAGTGAAAATATACATTAGATACCACACATCTTTGGCTCAAAAAAAATAAATAAATAAAAGTCTTTCTGTAGCTCTGTAGTCCCAGCTAGCCTGGAAATTGTTATATAGAGCAGGCTGGCCTCGATCCTATAGAAATCCACCTGCCTCTGCCTCCCAAGTGCTGGGATTCAAGGCATGCACCACCATGTCCAGCCACATTCTCTTTTCAAAAGACTCAATTACAAAGCCACAGTTTGGGGGCAGGGCAGGCATTTTATATGTATTTGTCCTGATATAATGCCCGAGAGACACATATTTAGTACTCAAAAATATATATTTGACCCTGATAATCTGCAAAAGCTTGCAGTGGAGACCCTTCCTTTGAAGACTCCTCTTTCTCGGTCTGCTCCCTCTTGTTGCTTACTGTCATGTCTGGTCCTTCTCTGGTGTCACTCCCTGGACCATCTCACTCATGTGAGACTTAAGTAGATCATCATGTTGAAGACCCGCTAATCTCTTGTTGACAGGCCACATCTGTTTTCATTTATCTATCTATCTATCTATCTATCTATCTATCTATCTATCTATCTATTTGACAAAGCTTAAGAATCAAGTTTCTCACTTATACACATCTCCATTTTTATATCCCACTGGGACTTTAAACGCTATCTGTTGAAGCTAATCTCTTCCAGCACCAACATTAAGTTCCTGGTCTCAGTAAATGGAATGAATAGGAACCGGGGTTTTCTCTGGGGCTGTGTTTTAAAAGCAAACCCATATCCAATCAAGTCCATTTACTATTTTGTTTCTAGATATTTTCTATTTTCTAACTCTCCATATGGTTTTCTAAGCCATTGCCTGGATGCTCTGTCCTTCTAGAAGAACACCAGCTCAGTGACCTCAAGCCTGTACTATCTAGAGGCACAGACTTGCTATTTGCCTAATGTCACACTCCTAAATCTCCCTGGTATGTCAGCCTGATCCCTAACCTGCTCCTGACTCTGTCCTCTATCTAGTCCTATCTCATGTCACTTAGCATTTATTTCTGGTACTTTCTATTCTGCTATTACCTATGATACTGATTCTAATTCTTTCAGCTGAGATTTTACTCAGTTGATATTTTCATGAGGCCTAATGTCTTAAGTTCCTTTTCCTGTTGCTGTGACAAAATATCCCAACAAAAGTTGCTTACAAAAGCAATTTAAGGGAGAAAGGATTTATCCTGGCTTATGGTTCAAGGGAACAATTTATCATGGTGAGGAACTCATGGCAGCAGGAGCTTGAAGTAGCTGATCACACTGCATCTGCAGTCAGGAAGAAGTGAGCAATAAAGACACAATGCTGCTCAGTTCCCTTTCACCTCTTATACAGTCCAGGATCCCAGGCAGGGAATGGCACCGCCCACAAAGGGCAGGGCTTTCCCACCTGATTAATGCAACCAAGAAAATCCCTATAGGCATGCCCTGAGGCTCATCTCCCAGGTGATTCTAGATTCTACCAAGTTGATAATATTAACCATCACACTTAAGATTGTGATTATCTTAGCCATTCTGACAGGATTAGATGAAATCTTAAAGTGGTTTTGATTTGCATTTCCCTAATTACTAAGGGTATTAAATACTTTTTAAGGTGCTACTAGCCATTTTTATTTCTTCTTTTGAGAGAGCTCTCGGTTCAGATCTATAGACCATTTTTTAATTGAGTCATTTGTTCTCTTGCTTCTTTGTTTTTTTGAGTTCTTTGCATATTCTGGATATTAACCTTCTGTCAGATGTATAGTTGGTGAAGATTCCCCCTGCCCCCTACTTTGTTGACTTCCTCTTGCTGACTTTAATTTCTAGTGACTGATGTCCAATCTAGAAAGTCTGTCCTGTACCTATGTTTTGTAGGGTACTGCTTATGTTTTCTCCTAATTTCAGGCTTCACGCTGAGGTCTTTGATCCACTTGGAGTTGACTTTTGTGCAGGTTGATAGGTATGGGTCTAACTTCACTCTTCTACATGTGGAGATCCAATTTTGCCAGCACCATTTGTCAAAGATGCTGTCTTTCCTCCAGTGTGTGTTCTTAGCACCTTTGTCAAATATCAGCAAATGCTTGCATGGATCCCAGGAAAGGGGATTGCTCATTCACTGCTGGTGGGATTGCAAAGTGGTGTAACCACTGTGAAAATCAGTATGGAGAACTCTTTAAAAACTAAAAATAAATCTACCATATGATTTGATTATACCAGACCTTGGCATATTCCCAAAGGACTCATCCTACTGCAGAGAAACTTGCACAGGCATGTTTGTTACTGCTCTTTTTACAATAGCTAAGAAATGGGAACAACTTAAATATGCAGTAAGGGGAGGCATGGCTAGGGGAGGGGATCTAAATACCATCAAATTATATTGTATGAAAATTGCAAAAATTCAGTAAGTTTTTCTAAAATAACATGATTAAGAGAGCTGGGCATGGTGGTGCACACTTGTACTCCCAGCACTTGGG